GACAGAAAATCTCTCGTTAAACGGTAACAGCAAAACAGAGAACCTTGTACATAGGTTGCCTGATTTGTTCCCTCTTTGTGTAGCCATCGTCGTGCTGACGACCGGGGTCTGTGTTGTTTTAATTCGACCTCTCGCCGTTGCTCTCCTGAGTCTGATTCCCATGTTTATGTGTCTGTCTACTGTGATTTGTATCCACTCTGCTTATTTTACACTACCCACTTCATGAATAGCCTAGGTTGGCTGGAAGGGGGCACAAATAGTTTCCACTCTCCGCGAAGGTAAATGTAGGTCACAGTGATGTCTTGCGCGAAAGACACTTTTTAATTTATTTTGAGAATTCAAAAGGGTAAAAGAGGGTTGTTTTTTTTTCACGAAAGACACTTTTAACTTAGTTAATGAAACGGGCAATAGGGCGGGAGGGGGGGGGCTCAAAATAAACTTTTACCCAAGATACCCAATACCTCACTAACTTCTGATGTCAGATTGTGTTTGTGGACGACCTGAACATGCCCATGCCGGAGCAGTGGGGCTCCCAGCCTCCCATTGAGCTGCTGCGCCAGTGGGTGGACCACTGGAACTGGTACGACCTCAACGACACTAGCCCTATCAAGCTGATGGACATGCAGTTTATCGGATCCATGGGACCTCCAGGTGAAACCTATTATTAACGTAGATGCTTCTACGTCCTCAATGGCATAATTTAGATGGTTTAGGAGGCGGGCTTCCGACCCTGCCTGTCAGAGCCAATCCGGGCAGTGAGGGATACAACATTTTCCAGCAGAAAGACGAAATACTCGATTAGATATTGTTTCTCTCCACTTCGACCTCCAGGTCATGCAGGGGCTGTATTTGGTTTGGGTGATGAAACCATGTCCGAGAACTTTAATGTTTCATGAGAAGTTTTTTAAAATTTGAGGCATGAGAGATATACATGTTGTTGGTGAGCAATTTAGGGGGAAAACACGAGAAAAAGGATAATGGAGATGTTACGAAAAAGATGGGATGGTGAGGAGGTAGATGAAAAGGAGGTTGAGGGGGTGGAAGAGGATGAAGAAGAGCAGAAGAATGAGAAAAAAAACCTCTTGTGTCTACACAGGTGGAGGGAGGAACTTCGTCACACCCAGATTTCTGCGCCACCTCCACAGTATATCTGTGAATGTTTTTGATGACGATACTATGATCACCATCTTTTCTAAGATCATGAACTGGCATCTGCAAACGAAGTAAGTGACTCTCTTAGTTAAAGATGTGCAATTTTGTTTCCCTCCCCTAAGCATAACTGTATGTACATGTATTCACAAATACTATTTACTAAAAGGAAAATAAAAACAAGTGATATCTTTTTTCTATTGGTTTCTTTGAACATTATTTTTTACTAGGCAATGTCGATTATAATAACTTTTTTTCATGTCCACAGTTGAACTTGTCTTTTTAAGCCAAGACACACAGATTGGGGTATTTTTCCATTTTTTGTTCTCAGCTAAAACAAACAATTCCTTCCGTTTTATAGCTTTTAATGTGTAGCCCCCAGGCTACACCCTGAAAGTCCCGATTCGGGTCAACTTTTGGATTTTGAGATGCAAGCAATTTTGGCTTCTTCAGAATCTCTTACTACTATTCCACCGCATAAGAACCCCCTAAAGCCTCATTTATTCCTATACCGGGCATGTTAGTCTCCACCATATTCTCATAAAGTCAATCTTTTCTTTTTCTTTATCGCCCGTTTTCTCCAAACACAGTTGTCTATATACTATTCTAACAGCTCCACCATTTTTCATCTAACTGTCATGACATTTTCAGAGAATGAAGAGAAGATATAATTTTAAACATTTGACGTTGAATTTTCGGTATATGAAATAGATTTTTGGTAGTGTCTGGAGTGCGTATTTTCACGGATTTTTTGGGGATGTCTGAAGTGAGCATTTTCACAGATATTTTACTAACTTGGATACAACCTCAGAAAAAAAAATCATTAAGAATGTTCTAATTCCTTTAGGAAAACTTCAACAGACCTTGATGTAGATCAATTGTCTGCTAACATGCATACAAGATAACAACCATTTCCGGTTTTTTTTTAAAGTGCAGTATTCTTTGCGGAAGATATGTCAACAAAATTCAATGTGGCTGCTGTCTCCATGGCAACGGAACTTTTCTGTCTAATTTGATTTCGGATTTCAAGAGCCCTCACTATGCTTGTTATAATTGCGAAATTTGGTCAAATATGATCCTCTAACAAGCGAGACAGCCTTCATGTGTAGCCCTCCCCCTAAGGTACCTCAGAGTTTAGGGAGCAAAATCAATGTATGTACAACGGTCTTCGATTACCAGTCTCTGTGGAGTAGCCATTAGTCTCTTTGCTGTCTCATGCTGGAGACCTGAGTTCGATTCCCGAGTTGGGAATATTGTTATTGAGTACGGTATCTTGGTCTTTTTGTAGGGATGTTGCATACTCTTTGTCCGGCTTGGCCATGACAGGCTCGGTTGGTAGTCCGCCTCCTAATTCATTAAAATTGTACCCAGGGCGTAAAAAGACCCACACTGAAAAGACAGTGGTTTCTGCCTAAGGACACTCCGCCTAAGAATCAGCTTTTACCGTGTAGAGGTCTTTTTAATTTGAATTATTTGCATGCTTAAGAACTAGTCTGAAACAGGTAAAATACTTAAGAACCCAATTTGTGTTAAGCCCTATTATCTTTTTTGAGTTGCTTTATACCAATTTGCACTGGTTGGAGTAAAGGCAGAGGGGTTGGGGAGGACTAACAGAGCTATCATAGCCATCTTTATTATCCCTATCATGATCATGATAATCGTCGTCTTCAGTATTATCATATCATCTTTATCATCATCATCATCATCATCATCATCATCATCATCATCATCATCATCATCATCATCATCATCATCATCATCATCATCATCATCATTTTATTTGATCTAATTTTTACTTCATTTTTTCCCAGAGAGTTCCCGGAACAGCTCTTTGCGTGCGTGCCACAGCTGATCGCCGGAACACTGAGGGTGTACGAGGAGGCCTCCGAGAACCTGCTGCCCACCCCAGCCAAGTCTCACTATCTGTTCAACCTGCGGGACTTCAGCCGCGTCATACAAGGCGTCCTGCTCTGTACGCCGGCCACGATACCCGACATTGATTCTTTGAAAAGGCTCTGGCTTCATGAGGTCATTCCTTTTTTTACACCCGCCCCTTTTTTTGTTTGAAGAAACAACATAGCTTTGAAATATTGCTCACAAACGTGCAACTCCTCAAAGGGAAGAATAATGCCCTCAAATAGCTATGCACTGAGTGTGTGTGTGTGTGTGTGTGTGTGTGTGTGCGTGTGTGTGTGTGTGTGTGTGTGTGTGCGTGTGTGTGTGCGTGTGCGTGTGTGTGTGTGTGTGTGTGTGTGTGTGTGTGTGTGTGTGTGTGTGTGTGTGTGTGTGTGTGGTAAAACAACAAACCAAAGAGCCAGGATCTGATCAATAAAGATTTACCTTATCTTATATTTACTTATTGTCTCCCTGTAGAGAATCACCTCTGAAACGCGTGAGACAATAATTGAAACCGAAAGTTATGAAATATTACGTTTTCTAGGTCATAAATATTGAAAAAATATATACCTATGGAATTGTGGAAAGGAAGCATTATAAAAATAACAAAAATGGGGAGATTTAAAAGGGTGAGACAATTGAACGTAACTGTTATATATTTTTTATTCTCTTGTGCCTAATCGTTAGCCTTCTTTTCTTAATTCCCTGATCCCTGATACTCCAACTAAATGTCTTTTTAAGTCGTTCCACCATTGTAAGCTCATCGTTGTGTCTAACGGGGCGTTATTTTCGTACAAAGAAAACAGAAAAAACCCAGATTTTGACGTACTGATGTGGGCAAGAACTCTCCAAATGCTTTGAGCGTTGTGATTTTGGGGCTGTGGGAAGCATTCGAAGGAATACTCTCAACACAAACTAGCAATACGTAACTGAGACATTCCCCATTCTGTGACAATCCTGCTCAGAAACATAATTTATTTTGTAATAGAACGCACTTGTTTTGTTTCATTGAATTTTTTTTCTGCCCTTTAGCAGTCTACTTCGTCTTCTTATGTTTCTCTTTGTATACGATAAATAATTTTAAAAAATCATTTCATGTACATGTATATCTTTCCAGCCATTTCTGCTTCATCGATTGCCCCGAGGACAAAACTTTCTTAAAGATGAAAAAATGTTCCCGACACTCTATGGTTTTGGACAATTCCTCTCGTTATTTATTATCGATACGGGGGAAATTTTTGTTCGGGCGGTTCTGGGAGGGGGGGGGGGGGTTGTTGTTTTTTTGTCTTTTTAAATTCTTTTTTTTTTCAGTCAAGAAAGGGAGATAGATATGGGTTGAGGAGGGTTGTTTTTTGGGGGTTTTTTGGGTGGAGCAGTTTAATCCATTAATCGGGATTTTTAAAAAAAATTAAGATGAGGAAATAATCTTATGACCTCACGCAGTTGTGAGTGCCGTAAATTTCTTACCAAACGGAAACCGAAAACTAACTTTTTCATTATTCTTTCTATATCGTACCATTTTCTGTTCTTGCCGGCACAGATCTATCGAGTGTTCAACGACCGTCTCATTGACGACCAGGACCGCACCTGGCTGTACCAGTGTAGCCGCACCACAGTAGAGAAATGTCTGCACACCGACTTTGACTATCTCTTCAGGGTGCGAAACTTTGAAATTGTTGTGATAAATCAGTGGCGTGGCTGCAGGCTTGCTTAGTCTTACATCCCCCTCCCCCCTTTCCCATCCTTTTTTACCACAGAAATGGAAGAATGAACCTATAAAAAAAAAGAAAAAAAGAAAGACGAAGAAAGAAAGAAAGAAAGAAAGGAAGATAGAAAAAAGAAAGAAAGAAAAACAGAAAGAAAGAAAAAAAGAAAAAAAGAGAAAAAAGAAAGAAAGTCCCACCTTTTCCCTTTGGAACAAAATGCTTACCACCCTGTATAAACTAGATGTAGTT